GATTATTCTACGCGTACGAAGTCGCGTGACTCAGCTAGTTAAGAATAAGCAGACAAGGTCCCTTCTGACCGAGGGAGGGAAGACCCCGTTGTCCCTAGCTGGTTTAACACTATGGATATAAATTATAAAACAAAAAAGCCCTAATTGTATTTGTTAATTTGGATTCAAATACAGGAACAAATAACAAGGAAACTAAGCAAACAAGCAAAGCAAGTTATAGTTAACGTGTTACAGCTTACTTAGATTATTTTAACAATTAAGAAAAATGTTGACTAACTTTGCTCTATAAGTTTATCTTTCCAACTCTTAAATTAGCTTATCTCGTACTCGCTGTGTATCCTTTTACGATATACTTTATGCTTTTTGTTCATTATTCCTTACACCTACCCACTTCAGGTTGTCTGGAAGAGATCGCTGCTTAGCTATAAAGGCTGTCTTTTATTTATAAGTTAGTACGTAATTTTTTGTTTTGTGCACTTACGGTTTTATAAGTAATTGTAATTTGAAAAATAAAAAGGAGGTGTTTGAAAAAAGTTTCAAAAACGTATATACAACTTACATACCGCCTCTGTAGCCAAATGGTTAAACGTATTGCGTAAAGCGCGAGAGGTCCTGTCTTCGAATCCCGGGGAAACATTAAATGGTTTCCCGTTAAAAGAACGGATCAGTGAAACGGACACAGAAATGTATTCGCCCCATGCCCCACGAGGGGGAAACGGGCTTTTACTATATACAGAGCGAGAAGTAAGCTTTACTAAAGTTGTACTTTTTTTAAGAGCTAAGGTAATAATTTTGTTGCCACGCGACCAAGTAAGTTAATTAGGCAGTAAGGTAAGTAAGTAGTAGACGATTAAAATCGGCCCGCTGTCATCCACTTAACATAATCACCCGTAATAAACTCATCAAATGCATAACAGAGTAATTATCTATGTTCGCTAACAACACCAAACCAGTTTTAATTTTAAGCCATTTTATAGTGATACTCTATAAAAATCTATACTATATTTTCTACACTCTTTTATTTATTTAATTTTTGTTTAATCTCTAACCTACCTTTATCTGTAGTTTTAATTGTTATGTATTTTTTTATCTGTATTTAAAAAATTTTGTTAAAATTGTGCATAAGTACTTCAAGTTAGATACATAAGTAGTAATAATAATTAAAAGTAATATATCTTGTAAGTTTAATTATGTATGTAGTCGGTAAGCCTTGTATAAAAAAATATTATGAAGCTGAAGAGTTTATTTGTTTGAACTCGCTAATCTGAAATCTCAGACATCTTCGAATGGAAAATTATGTTTTTTATGTTCGATAGACCATTTACTGAGGAAGGCTTTAGGCTATATAGCATCACGCTGCGACTAATAGGGGAAATTGCGGAAAATGTTGAAAAAACGAAGAAATTTATTAATCCTTTAAGGATGTCGTGTGCGTTACGAAAATGGTTTCAAATATTATGAAAGAATTATTTCTTTTTAAATGATCTAAATGATGTCCGCGACTTGCCTATCCTTTAAGATTAACTCATAAGAACTACTTTTATGGTAATCAAATTTGGTCAAAATAAATTCCTTCTTAACTATTATAGTTTTCTCAGCTAGTGAACTAAAAAAAGCAAAATCCACTCACTACTAAGTAGATATGTTTTATGTCCGTCATAATAAGATAGACTGTGTCGTAATGAAGTTAAAAAAAATAACTCATTCAAAGATTGTGTTTGTTAAAACCTGTTTGTAGTTTAGGCGAGTAGTACACACTTAAATAAAACACGTTAACGGTTTAAAACGTTATATATATTAGTTGAACTGATCATACTTCTGAGGCCTATCCGAACGATGATATTGTTATCGCTTAACTCAATTAACCGTTCAGAGGCGGCCGAAAGTAATGTATAGACATCAATTATTATTTTTACGGTGAGTGCTTTCTGACAGGTGCAATGTCATTAAATATTAATAGATTGAAAAAAATCATTGAACTCGGCACGGTATACATCTGTTTTACGAGTATGAACATCTCTTTTTAAGGAACTAAACCACTCGCTTTTTTAAAATGTATCATTGCTTGCCCAAATAGTTTACACTAATACCTGTTATGAAACTAAAGAGTTCGTTAGTTTAAATAAAAACACTTTAACGGTTTAAAACGCTATATTTTTTTGATAAACTTGTTTGAAAATTATTTTTTACTACGGCCCGACGTTTCGGATGCTTTCTAAGTTTATTTAAATGTGTACTACTCGCGTAAACTACAGACCGAGTTTCTTAGTTTAAACGTGCTAATCTCAGAAACTACTGGTTCAAATTGAAATAATATTTGTGTGCTGGTTACCTACTTATCGAGGAAGGCTATAAAACATCACGCTGCGACAACTAGAAGCGAAGCAACAAAGGGAAATGCGAGAAAAACGGGAGAAATTCTTCATTTTGAGGGTTTCATACGCTGCGAAAACGGTTGAGGGGATAATAGGTAATTTCATAAGGATGTGGAGGTTTGCTAAAACAAATAATAACGCCCAAAATAACTAATCTACCCGGACAAAGACGGTCGAGACATCCAAGGGAATTTAATGACGAGCCGATACAGGTCTTTTTAATTATTCGATTATTAATTTTGCACGATATCTGTGTTTTCGCGTTGAAAGTTTCGCACAATTTGTCACGCCATTACCATTGGAGATTATCTTGAAAATATTAAATTTCGTAAACAATTATTATAATTTTAAGTGAAAATAAAAGTTGTTATAATCGACATAATTGCTTCAAACATATAAATACAGCAATTAGTAAAAGTAATTAAATGAAACTCGATGAAATCTGTATTTACGGTCACAGTTGGGAAGAAAGGCCTCTTCGCAAGTTAATGATCTGTTTTATTGAATTAAATTTTGATGGGCAATAATAGGGTAAATAATATTGTCTACTTGTCCGTTTTAACTTAAACACTTTACCTATATCTTAAAATTCCTACGGAATCCTTCGTGCACAAGTTCGTCTCGCGCTTGACATCAATAATAATTTTTTGTAATTATTTCAGAAAATATAGAAATACTATTATAAATTTTTTTATCTTTGTTAAATACTTACTGTTCGTATTTTACGCGGGTAGCTTCGTTTAATTTATTTGAAAATAAGTTTAACTAATATATATATCGCGTTTTAAACCGTTAGTGTTGTAAGTATTTACATGTAAGCTTTGTTTGTTATGTAGAATTTTAAATCCACATGCATTTACAGAATACAGGCTTGCTGTAACTTTGTTTGCTATGGTTTTGCACAGAGTAACAGATGTTTCTTTAAAAAACTTAAAAAATTGGCATCAATCGGTCTCATTAATCCGCACATCATTACACGTGGAGGTCAATAGAATTAATCTTTGATTTATAAGATGAAATATGGACACATAGTCACGTTCCAAAACCACAAATTTAAATATCATATAGCTCGGATAATAAACAGACAAGTTATCTAATTATTTTCGCGGCAACCGGTCTGATTTAAATATTAAAAGCGACTCTATATCATCACGAATTTTCGACTTTCTAACTCGGAAATCGTGACAAATCGATGCTAAAATGGTGTTTTTTTTCACTTGGTACGTGTATAAGTGTCTTCACATTTTTTATTACGTCTTTGCTTATGAGTTAGGTGATGTAAAACACAATTTAGAAACACTTAGCTTACATTTTGCCAATATTTAGACGAACTATCCAACTTGCTTAAACTTTTATAATTATCCAATATTGTTCTTATCTACATTAATGTATTATGTAACTTGAAAATAGTTTAGTATTAGACATACATTTTTAACGGTTTAAAACACGATACACATTAGTTGAAGCTATGACTAGTGGCATGTACCTACTTTGTCGGAAAAATAATCAATATTGCTTTATGGAACATAGTTACATAGTTCCATCTAACAATCTCAAGATAGAATATCTATTTAGAATTGTCTATACTCAAATAAGCATTCTACTAAACCTCTACACTAACTAAAAGATTCTTCTACTTAGAAACTTAATAGATAGAGAAAAACATTTATACTTATCATTCTTTCTGTGTTTTATCTCCTTTTTTAATATATTCTACAGTTGCAACCAAACTGCTCAATAACTTAATAGATATGAAAACTATTTATTAAATCTAAACCCACTTACCACCCATTCGTTTTTTATCAAGATCCTTAATGGTTGTGCTATGTCTACTAATCTTTATAAATCTTCACTCCATACAAAATATCGCACGCAATACGTAGAGGCTTGTTCAAATAATTGCACCAATTCGCGACGTGCGCAAAGTGCGGTGCGCGTGCGACGTGTGAATTGATGCGCTAGATCGCGTGCCGTACGGGCGATCTTTTGCGTGTTGTTACATATTAGTGTTATGGTATTTCACGAAAGTTTTTTTTTTATGATAAAGGAGGACAGACATGGCACGGGGCTTACTTGATGGTAGATGATATACCCCAGCCTATAGCATCTAAACAAGATTTTTAGACGAAGTCCAACATCTTGGACCTGGTGGGGATCGAACCAACGACCTTGATTATTAGGCATACATTGCTACCATTAGACCAACGAATCCGTCAAGAGTTACAATTCTTCGAAAACGACGCTACCCATAACGGCAAGCGTAGTAAAACTCAGTCGTAATTTGTTACGCAGGTGTCTGGCAATTTAATTGGCTTCGATAGTTGGAACGGTCGAAAGCATAATTGTATTTATTAAGTTTGATTTAATGAAATTTAAAATGAGCTCGGGGTTTAACGGTGTAAACTCGAGATTTTGTCATTATTTTTAATTTGATTAATTCTGTTAAATCTCGTTCTAAAAATGTAGGATTAAGATACCGATAGAATGTTGTAATAGGATTTAAGGTGATAGCAGATTTATCAGCAACGATCACGTCGCGTTTATTTATAGATCGCACATGACAAGTCTACGATCAGCCTAAAAAACATAGATATACAAATGGAATTTTATTAAAATTTGACGATGCTAACATACTAATCTATATGAAATATATCTTCCAGCTGTCTCCGAAGATCTAATAATTTTAACTACCTGAAATAGAAGAACATGATTATCATTTGTGTGAGTGAAAATCAATTTGTTATTAAGTAATTAACAATAACGTAAAATATATATTTAGGTACCTTAATGACAGGTGATTACCCTATTATATTTAAATAAAACACTAACGGTTTACAACGCGATATATATTAGTTAAACTTATTTGAAAATTATTTTAACTACGGCCCGACGTTTCGGATGCTTTGCAGCAGGCGTGGTCACGGGGAGACTAATAATAATATATATCACGTTTTAAACCGAAAGTATACCCTATTATATATAAGTAAAAAGTATTAGTGACTTATTTTGGATTTGGACATATGTACCCCTTATTTTTTGACTCACCTGTCCTCTTTTAAGTCCAAAATATCTTGCAACGGGATCACCAGCCTGTATTCTCATTAACATGTTTTCTTTTAATTTACTGTATGAGGAGTTACGGAAACATTAAAGGTATTAACTAAAATGTGTTCATTTCTATACATGTTTTTAGCTGAAAAACATTGTGAGGAATCCAGTAGATTTTAGAAATATAAAATCAATGTGTCTTACCATTTGGCCAGCAAAGTTTATATAGTTGGTCCTTTAAATAAAACACTATAACGGTTTAAAACGCGATATTTAGTTTTAAACCGTTAGTGTTTTATTTAAATGTGTACTACTCGCGTAAACTACAGACAGTGTTTACATTTGATCCTTCCAAATAATGTTAAGTATAGTTTAAATTAATATCGTAAATAAAAAGGATACTATCTAGATAATAATTCTTGCTTTTCATCCGGCGTCAGCACAATGTGTTCTGGGACTAATTCATGTTCTGTTATGTTGATGAGTAATTCGGATTCTAGAAATTGTTCCAGTATGTACTTCGGTGCCATGTCTACTAGTGATTGCTTTGCAGAGGGAGTCATACCTGAAGAATAAAATAATTATTATTTATAATAAATGAACATGAACTTATGATTTTAATAATAGGGGAAGATATGCAAGCAAAAGGTTCACTTGGTGGTACGTGAAATAACATCTAAACAAGACGCGCTGTCGACCTGCTTTGGCATTGAATATTCAGAAATCTAGACTGAAAACGAAACGCGATTAAACTTCGTGGCTTTTTCATCTGTGGCCTGGGTGGTATTTAGATATAATTTATCTTAGCCCAGTGTTTGAATATCCAACTATAACACTAAACGCAATGCAAGACAATTCTTTATATATACCTGCTTGAACCACTACAATTGCCCGATGAATATTTTCCTCCTGCATTCTTGTACAGTATGTCTTTATGGTTTTGATACCTATTTTTGCCTCATCAGGAAAGAATACAAACATTTGATCAGTGGGGTCGTCATTATGTGCAACAAGCACTATCAAATCACTTCGAGCTGGTCTTTTTTCACTGAAAAATTAAATATTGTGTAGATTTAATGTCTAATAGGAGTCCACCCTCATTAATTATACTTCAAAAATTATATTTTGTGTCATGTTTTAAATCCTCTTTTAAATTATAATTGTCAAAATCAGAGTTTCTGTCAATAGCTATTGACAAATGATTATGAAGTAAAATTATTAGTATCTGAATTTACAATGCAAGTGTTAGAGGAGAAAGTTAGAAAGAACATTTTAGAAAAGACAGTTTCTGAAACAACAAAGCTGCACGTAGGTATGTAATTAATAATTAAACAGGATTACGGACAATTAACTTCCTCTTAGGTAATAACCTACAGTTACACTAAACATGTAACTGTATACATACATAGTCAATAAATATAAATATCTTGATTAATTTACTCCATAATTTTACCTGGGTTTATCCCCAAATTGTTCTTTAAATTGGTCTAAAGTTTGATCCAATTCATCTTGAGTCACGAGATATCCGCGATCATGGCATAGCTGAAAACATAAGTTATTATGAAATATTAATAATCATTTCTCCGAGCATAGGTGAAGGTGAAAGTATGATACTGAAACTAACTTAATAACTATGTCTTCCCGAAGTTATGTGTACATTTTTCTGCATATTAAAATGAGTTTTAAACTGCCGCATTCTAACCTTAAACATTTACCTGCATAACAGTTTTTCTGATTCTCCATAGTTTATATGTCTCTGCGTCGTCATCCATTTTACTTGCGCAAGAACGAAATATAAAATTTTTATTTGCAAAACTTTTTAATAAGCAGGTTTAATTCTACACCTGTAGAAACCAAACAATGTTATTTATTTTCATAAACTTTTAAATATTTTTGACCATATCACAGATAAAGTAAAAGAATGGTCAAATGCCACAGGCAATCAATTGACAGGATAAAAATCTGTCTAGTATGGCCATAGACCATAAAATATTATTTTGGTAACTGACGTTTTATCTTTGTTTATAAGTCTCAGCTTCAGACGTCAAAAAATTAAGATTTTCAGCGTCCAAAGACAAGAATTTCATTCATCATTGAAGTAAAATTAGTGATTTCAAACAATTTTATAATTTTGTTGTCTTAGCGATTACCTCGTCTTTTTGATCAGTTTATTGGTTGTGTGAAAACTAGAAAAGTCAATTACTATCTATTGATTCTCGTCAGAAGGTTTAATTAGATCACACCCAAGATTCGCGTATTAAAAATAAAATTTCGAAATGGCTGGAATTAAAGGTAATGTCCATCTCTTGTTATCCATGCAAAATTTGATGACTCATAATTTTTATTTACAAACATAGATCTCTATTCAATATTAATCGAATTTTCCATTGTTTCATGTTTACTTTGGACCAATAGGGTAAGTAAAAGTATTTTGCCACTATGCCTATAATGTAATGAGTTTCTTCCTAACAGTTTTTACATAATATCTTTAATAACTTTTATATTAAGACATACGAATCTGCTACACAACTTGTTCCTATTTAATTAAAACTACCACTACACTGCTATGTCTCACACAATGATTAAAAATGATACTATGTCATATTTAAAGGTAGAGTAATATGAAAAATAAAATATCTTTCAGATTGGTGTCTCTAGCGTTTGCTGGATCAATTGGAATGACCTTTGTTATATTGGCCTGTGCCTTACCTCAATATAAGTAAGTTACTTTTTTTACATATTTACATTTAAGACTAAAACAGCAAATAAGCATTTGCATTATATACATAAATAAAATAGTAAATGTAATAACATACAGACAAATATGTCTAATGAAAATATAGCCAAGTACCCCAGGAGTGTTATCATGTAACATTATTTTTTAACTATTAATGTTACTGGCTAACCATTGTGGAAATTCTATGTCTAAAATGTTTTTCTTTCTGTATAGTGTAATCTCGTTTCAAAAATTGCAAAAACATTTGTGTCAATCATGTTGACTGGTATGAATAATAATTTATAATACATGCAAGTTTGTCGGTCATATTTCTGTACTGTGTCTAACTGAAACAATTTATTATGTAACTTAAACCTAATATACCCTGTGCCAAAGGCAAACCTAAGCATATTTGACCATTAAGCTTCAGATGAAATGTAGGATAAATGGTAACTAACAAATAATCCAAAAGAATCCAAATAATGTTTAGAAATATAACCTGTTTCATTTTCAGATTATGGTGGCCATTCTTTGTTGTGTTATTCTATATACTTTGCCCAATACCAACCATGATAGCAAGACGCAGTAGCGATAGTGCCGGTGGAAGCAATTCACCATGCATGGAGGCTGCTATTTTTATCACTATGGGCATACTAGTCAGCTCCTTTGCTTTGCCAATTGTTTTGGCTAGAGCAGACGTGGTATGTATTTTTTTATGACCTAAAATCATCTCAAACTAAACACTACCTTGTATATCAGTGTATATAATTTGCTGAAATAGATACAAGCAATAATTTGAGGTAAGTTGATACATTTATTTGATTACTAGCAAAGTCCAGTTGGGAAAAACATTTAGTATTTCTAAGTTATTACACATTTGGCATAAAATTTATATGTTACATTGTTGTAAAAGCTGCAACTTTATAAATGAAAAATCAATAAAAAAAATACGACTCAAGTAGGACTTGAACCCGCACCCTTTGTGTTCCCTGCTGTTGTTCTAACAAATTAAGGTACCGAGTCCTACCTATACTTAAGGATGACTGCTAAAGTCCTCTCCAAATCGTGAATTTTATCAATTTATAATAGACTAGCTGTGCCCGCGACTTCGTCCGCGTGGAATAGTGACTTAGGGTAGAATTTTTAATTATTTAGGCTGTTTATTTATTTATGTAAGGGTGCATTTTAGGCAGCCAATATATGTAGTAAGTGCTACTTTGCCGCATCACTCTCATTCCTATACTCACTCTCACTCCCACTCCTACTCACACTCCCACTCCCATACCTATTCCCAAAAAGCCAAAGAAGAAAGTTTCATTGTTCTAGCTTCAAAAACCACTAATTTCCATACAAACATTCATCCCCTTATTCAACCCTATGCCTATGTCCTTTCTCATGCTCTAAAATATCTATGTACCAAATTTCACTTAAATCAGTTCATTAGTTTCGGAGTTAAAGCTGGACAGACAGACAGACAGAGTTACTTTCGCATTTGTGATAACACTGTTTCATTTTGGTCGGCATTTCTTTCAATTTGTTAAAAGTAAAGAAGTAGTTATAGTGACGTAACTACAATAGTAAAATAAATAAATAAATAAAATAATAGTTAGACATATGGTATTAAGATATTTTTTGTTATATTAATATATTCTATAATATTGTCGAACATTTTTTGTCCTATCATTAATCCTCATCGCAGCATAAGGGATGAAACACATTTTATGGCTAATTTTTTTACACCTCCTGTTGCTTTTAATAGAAATTTCTATCGTAATCTAGTACTAAGTATAGTCTATTTTACTCAATAATAATGTAGCTGCCTAATGAAAAAAATGAATTATTAAAATCGGCCCAGTACTTTTTGAGTTTATCCGTTTCATACAAAAATACAAACCTTTCCTCTTTATAATATTAGTGTAGACAGCTGTTACCCACGAAATTCGTATTCCATCGTACGCGTCCCGTCGTTCGGGTCGTTCTTGCAAGTTAATCTTAAAAGATAGACATAAAGCCTCGAGGACTTTTTTTCATTAAAAGAGAAATTCATTCTTTCATACACAATTTTTAGGTATCTTGAACCGTTTTCGCAGCGTACGCATGTGAAACCTACAGCGATGAAAAATTTCCCTCGTTTTGTTCACATTTCTCGCTGTATCTTTGCTCTTCCTCGATAGATGCTCTAACCAACACAAAAAGAATATTTCAATTCAAACTACTATTTTAGATTAGCGCGTTCAAACAAACTCTTCAGCTTTATACATTAGTTTTATATTAGATTTATAATTTATATTGTGCTATCATGTGCAATAACATGTGAAAAATATTGAAAGTTTTCAAGCTGCTACTATGTTGAATTTGTCCTTGGTGTCTACAGTCATGTTGCAGTTTTTTCTATTTATGTAATAGAAAAAACAGCATAAAGCCTTAATACTTTAAATAAAACATTGTTTTTATCCCTTTCAGATCTTGTGGGGTGCATGTTACCTAACACTGGCAGGCAACATCATTGTTTATCTCACCATCCTCGGTTTCTTCACGATTTTCGATATGGATGACTCGGATTATGCGATGTGGTGAGAAATCTAAATCAACGTGTTTGTTGCAAAAGGACACTAATAGCCTTGGATGTTTGTATAAGATAATGTTAATATTTTAATTTAAGTCTGAGTTATGATACTGATATTAGTTTGTAGCTTTTTTCTTCCAAGTTTTTTGAAAATTGTTGTACCCAGTTAATTTGTGAATAAGAGATAAATAATTCGATTTTAATCCGCGTCACTTAATTAGTATAAGAAATGAACCTGTGTATTTTTTTACAAGCTTAGAGTAATTATATAATTAATAATTTAAAAATCGAAAATAAATTGAAAAAATTTTTCGACTCGGGCAGGACTTGAACCGGCATCGTCAGCTTTCCGTGCTGTTGCTCTACCAATTGAGCTACCGCTCAATTGGTAGAGCTATAATTAATAATCATAAATAATATATTAATAATTATTAATTTAGGTTAATATATTAATAGCTATTAATATATTAACCGAATAAAATTTAACTGTGTCTAAGAACCTACCTGGTAGTATATTTGATATATGTGTAATAATAAGACTAATCTTTCGCAAAGTACATACAGTATTCCACGTTTTATGAGTCTGTTCATCTGCTTTAATTCAATCTAAATTGTTATCGATTTATATGAAATTATTTTAATTTTTAAATGATAGGTGTAAAAACAAGGTCATTTATCGAAATAAATACTATATACAAGAATAAATCATATATTAATGTTTTTAATTTTATATGTCACATACAAAGGACAATGATCACTTTAAGCTTTATAATGTTAATTGCAAAGACAATAAACTCTTAAGTATCATTAAAATATGAAGTTCTAGAAAAATAACAACAAAAAAAATGTTTTAGATGTTGGGTAAAAAAGGTTCAATAATTTTAATGTAGACTTGAGCTTAAAGTAAAAAAAATTGTTTTATTTTTTTAACGTATCAAAGGTTTGTGACTAAAAAGTGATAATTGTCCTTTACACCGAAATTTGACAAAGCTTATTATGTAACATCACTAAAGTTCAGTATTCATTCCTGCTTATTATTTGTCAATGTAGAAACTTGCATTTCTGTTGCTTAATACTCTTTAAAATCGAATTGTTGTTTTTTTATTGATTTAAGACTGCTATAAAAATTATACAATTGCAGTTTACTTATGTTTTAATACCTATAAAACCATAAAAGTAATTTTCGTTAATACATTCCTGTTAGTATAATCTGTACTTTGTAAATATTATTACTGAAACCTGGTCACAATAAAAATCCTGAATGCTTGTATATTATGTTTGTTTTATTAAGGTTCTGGGAAATAATTACCAATGTGTCCGCAATTGGCGTTAGTATTTTTTATGGTTATAGCAGCAACCTTTATAGATATTATAAAGGTAAACAACTCGTCGGTTGTGTTCGTTACTAAGTAACGATTTCAATGGTTACTCAAAAATTAATGGTTGATCGTTATTTTCTGTGGTACAGAACGAGAATAGACTACTTACTGTATAATGTCTGTTATAATCTATTATGACAATTGACATACAAAATAGTGATTTCACTCCAGCGGCGCACCCAACATTTTGCATTTAGATTATAGTTTATTCAATTTCATATAAAAAGAAAGTGTATTTGTAGAAAATCATGGGTGACCATTTACCGGCGTGTGTTATCGATGTGGGAACCGGCTACACAAAATTAGGGTTTGCTGGTAATAAAGAACCCCAGTTTATCATTCCGTCTGCCATAGCGATAAAGGAAACTGCTAAAGTGGGTGACCAGAGCACTAGACGTATGACTAAGGCCGTGGAAGATTTAGATTTCTTTATCGGTGATGAAGCATTTGAGGCGACGGGTTATTCAGTTAAATATCCTGTCCGACATGGTTTGGTCGAAGATTGGGATCTGATGGAGAGGTACATTGAACAATGTATTTTTAAATATTTACGAGCTGAACCGGAAGATCATCACTTTTTGATAACAGAACCGCCATTGAACACTCCCGAAAATCGAGAATACTTGGCAGAGATTATGTTTGAATCATTTAATGTGCCTGGTTTGTATATAGCTGTGCAGGCAGTCTTGGCTCTTGCCGCGTCGTGGAAATCCAGGACTTCAGCCGGCCGCACATTCACAGGTATAGTTGTAGACAGTGGTGATGGTGTGACTCATATTGTTCCAGTAGCTGAAGGATATGTTATCGGTTCTTGCATAAAACACATACCTATTGCGGGAAGGAACATAACATCTTTTATACAGTCTCTGTTGCGTGAACGTGAAGTTGGTATACCACCAGAGCAGAGCTTGGAAACAGCTAAAGCCATAAAAGAAAGATATAGTTACATTTGCCCTGATATTGCCAAAGAATTTGCAAAATATGATTCAGATCCAGCCAAATGGATGAAGAATTACACTGGTATAAATGCTATCACTAAAAATCCATTTTCTGTTGATGTCGGGTATGAACGTTTCTTGGGTCCGGAAATATTCTTCCACCCAGAATTTTCTAATGCGGACTTCACTGTGCCCCTAAATGAGATGGTCGATGAAGTTATTCAAAGCTGCCCGATTGATGTAAGAAGAGGGTTATATGGAAACATTGTACTATCTGGCGGTTCCACTATGTTTAGGGACTTTGGCAGAAGGTTGCAAAGAGATATAAAAAGAACTGTTGATGCAAGGCTTAAGCTCTCTACCATGTTATCAGAAGGTCGGATTACACCTAAGCCTATTGATGTTCAAGTTATTTCCCACAACATGCAGCGTTATGCCGTTTGGTTCGGAGGGAGTATGCTTGGTTCAACCCCTGAATTTTATCAAGTCTGTCACAGCAAACAAGCTTACATGGAATACGGACCCAGTATTTGTAGGCACAACCCTGTATTTGGTACCATGACATAGGTTTTGTCAGTATTGTTTAATTCAAAGCAATTATAAACATTTTATCTTCTTAAAACAAGACTCATTCACATTACATATAGACACAACCAAGACTTACATATGGACTTTTTAATTTTGCGTTTATATTGTTTATTTAGCTTTTAAGTGTAATTTAACCATGATTGTATTATGCTGGACTTAGTTATTATTAAGCATTTAATACATTGCATTCCAGCGACAGCCAAATATAAGATTTGTAAATAAAATGTTTTCTTAATAAATTAAAATCTTTATTTTGAACTTCCACTCCAATTTATTATATGAGAAATTGGTTCAATAATATTCATGATGTTAGTACTACAGCGCCATCTGTACGTATATTTACCATTTCGAATTGTTTTCTATATTGAGATATAGATGGCGCCTTTACAACAATTTAATAAAAACATCTTTTGGGCGCAATATGTTGCAATTGAAACACAAATTAATTAAAAGATAAATACTTATCTCTAAATATTTGAAGTAGAACATTTACTTGGATGGTTGGTTAATTGACGTGAGTTAGTGTAAAGTGTGTGGGGAGTTGCCAGACTTCCACCGAGCGCGTCCCCAGGTGGCAGATAGGGGAATGGTCGTCAGATAATGACCATTATCGGCAGTTAGACTGCCGGCGCGGACCAAATCTGGTGGGTTTCCACGGGCGTACCCTAAACAGCCAGAAAGGGAGCGTTTTATCGCTCGGGCGATCGTCGCCTTTTTTTCGTCAGGTCTTTGGACCCAGTGGTGCCGAACACGGTGGATGGCGTGTCTCCAAGACCGCGAAGTGTAGGCTCCTGATAAGTTCTCAGAAGAGAACCCTACACGATGCGTAATGGTGAGTGATTTGAGTTACGATTTTTTTTTGTTTTTCGTCTCTCGTGAACATTTATTTTGCGGCTTACAGCACGTACGTTTTCCTAAGTGGCTTTCTATACCATTATGATGGTAAAAAAAAGCATTTTGGAAACAACATTTTACTAAGCAAAATTTATTTGAAAGGATTAAAATGGCGGAACTCGAATCCTAGACATAACGTGCTGTTGATCTAACAATTAAGCTATAACTTAATTATTGAAAATACGTACTACGGCAACACGGAACGACGTAAGAGCAACAGCACGAAACGCTGAGGATGCCGCTCCAAGTCCTGCCCGAGTCGGACATGTTTTCAATTATGTCGATTTTTAATTCATACGTACTACGTGTACATAGCTGATTAGCAAATGCAGTTTAAAGTAAATAATTACGCTATAGGAATAATTAATGATTAAACCAATAGATGTCAAGCCTACTGAGGTTTGTAATTATAGGTAGGTAATTGGTGCTTAGTAAACTAACTACACAGCTACCAATTTAAAAAGTTTTCAAAAGGCTTTTTGGCATAAAATCCAAACCATATTTCCTTTGAATCGATGTCAATCAGTGAACACTCGTTCTGAATACACCTTTTCAGAAATAGGTAGGCATCTATTAAATTAACGGATCTTCTGGCAAATCATAAATGGCCTTTAAATGAATTTCAACGGGTTTTATGTAGAATAGTAATTTTGGGCATTAAAGTTTGTGTTAGCAAACCTGTTCTATAAATTTATGCTGTTACCTACGACGTCGTCCGCTTCCCGTCGTCTTGTAAGTTAATCATAAAAGAGAGACTTATAATGTCGCAGACACTTTTTTGATCATTTAAAGAGGAATCATTCTTTCAAACACAATTTTTAAGTATGTTGAACCGTTTTCGCAGCGTACGCATCTGAAACCTACAGAGATGAAGAATTTTCCCCGTTTTCTTCACATTTCTCGCTGTATCTTCGCTCATATTAGTCGCAGCGCGATGTTTTATAGCCTACAGGCGTCCTCGTTAAATGCTCTATTTTTAAACAAACAAACAAACAAATTCTTCAGCTTTATATATTGGTATAGATAACGTAAATTTAGAATCTTTACTTTTTAACTGCTGTGCAATGGCGTAGCTATCGTAGGGTCAGACTTAGGGGGACTTAGGGGCCCTCTAACCTTAAATACGCTCTATAGTTTACGCGAGTAGTACACATTTAAATAAAACACATTAACGGTTTAAAACGCGATATATTAGTTAAACTTATTTGAAAATGATTTTTAACTTCGGCCCGACGTTTCAGATGCTTTGCAGCAGCCGATTTTCAAACAAGTTTAACTAATATATCGCGTTTTAAACCGTTAAAGTGTTTTATTTAAATGCCCTCTAACCTTATCTTTAAGAAGAGATAAGCGTAGAAGCAAAGGTTTTTAAAACGTTTTTGGTGCTATTTATAATTTTGGAGGTTCATTTAATTTAAGCTATGCTAAAAGAGGACCCCATTCTTTCTTGACCCTTACGATTAGGTGGACCGGGGCCCTTGTCCACTTACGCTAACGCTACGCCTAGCTACGCTACTGCTGCTGTTATGTACCTAGTTACCTGCGTAATTAAATGAGTATTTATTTTAACATATTATGCTCGAACGACAAAGCATTGGTTTACTCATATTACTTAAAAATACACTACATTACGTAAATGTATTATTTTTGTACTGTATTGTACACTTGTTTCATAATACTAAAGTTTAGAAATTTACGGCATTTATTACCTATTTATTAATTATTTTTTATTTAACCTGTTCTTGTATTAAACACACATTTATGTTAACACTCTAATTACTGGGATTCAGTAATTACTTTTTGTCTAATGATCTAAGGATCTCGCTTGGGAGACACAACATAGGCAATAGGCAGTGTTTCTCGAAGGATCTTGGATGAGCATTTTACTCTAATTAGCCTTCTTTAGTCCTATTATTAGATACCTGAGTAGGTAACATTTTTGTTACCCTCAATAGTAAATGACCGAACTGTACATATATAAGCTTAGTTAAAAAAAAAAAAAATTTAAATGTTACCAAAATTGGCGTTGGTCTTGCTTTAGAGAAAAATATTGTGATTATACGTCACTGAACACTGATCATATCTAACTAACAATTTCTGATAGCTGGGTCTCTTACGAAAAGGTTTTAAAGATCCACCACACTGTTCCAAAGTGGGTTCGCGGTTTTTAATGCGTACGGACAGTAACGTGCTCTTAGTAGCACGGAGATAATGACACCTTCCAAACTCCACGCTGGTACTATAAAGGCAAAAATAAGAAAGATAAAACAGTGTCTATAGTTTACGGGAGAAGTACACATTTAAATACAACACTTAAACGCTTAGTTAAACTAATAACGTTTTAAACCGTTAAAGTGTTTTATTCAAATAAGAAAAGTTCCAAATTAACACTTCTTCAAATTGGGGTTTGAACTCAGGCTCTCGTGTAAAGCCAATGTACACTAACCACTACACCGACTATCACTCATTAATAATTAAAAAGGCAATATTCATATTATGACTGCAGTATGTAAAACTTTTGTATTGAATTTTTTTCATTATCATCTGCTTATCTGCCCTGAGATGAATATGGGTTGAATTTTGCTCTCAGCCACGGTTTAATAAGGGTGAGTGCAATCACGTGGATGCACACAGGCAAAGGTAATATTGATCTGGATATTACGGGAAGCAATTAACTGTAATACGGTACGGTGGGGTGTTTTTACAAAGCTCTTTAATTAGACCGCGACACCGCCCCCCGACTCGCTTGTATGTCGTGACGATTTTGCACAAAAGGTCGTCATTTTTGATGCTCTATGGTAGAGGGGACGCACATATCCATAACGTTATATAACCACTTCCTTTTAACACAATATTCGCGGTAATGTATCTAGTGCAGTAACTAGCATATTGTTGCGAAACACTGAAAATCGAGTACTTTCTACAAGTGTCCATTACACCGTTGGAACCTAATTTAAGCTACCTAAATATTAGTAAATATATTTAAATGAATACTAGACACGAAATTATGTGATAGCCAGTATTTGTTATCTTATTAGATAACTGATATTTTATTTTTATTTATTTAAGAAAGAAATATTAACTATAACCCGAAAATATATTAGTATCATATTTAATAACGCTTAAAGTATTTTGTTTGTTAATAAGTTCTTAATGTGTGTTTATCGCGTAAACTAATTAGAAAATGTATCTTTGTCTGAATTTTCAATACTTTAAATCAGACGTGGTAAAAGTCGTCAGGATATATAATATTTATCATAGTAGCTGTGTCAGCGACTACGTTCGCATACATTTTAGATATTTCTAAGAGCAATCATACTTTCATACAATTTATTTTTAAATATCTGGAACCGTTTTCGAAGCGTACGCAACGGAAACTCTCAAAGATAAATAATTTCCCCCGTTTTCTCCATTGTTACTTCGCTCAATTAATGCCCTGAATTATAATCTCTAAGAATTTGTCAATTCCCAGCATTACTTCCTGAGATCAGCTCGTTCAAACAAATTCTTCAGCTTTATAAAATGATTATTATAGATTCTAAAATATGTGTACTGACACTCTCAATCTAATATATAAAATTCTCGTGTCACGGTGTTCGAACTTGAACTCCTCCGAAACGGCTCGACCGATATTCACCAAATTTCATATGTGTATTCAGTAGGTCTGAGAATAGGACAACATCTACATTTTTCATCCCCCTAAGTGATAAGGGTGGTTCACCCTTAAATTTTTTTTTGTAATTTTTGAACAAAATTTTTAATTTGTATTTTTTACGATACAACATACAAAAATACATACAATACTCAATTTTCACCCTTCTACGATTAACCCTTATTTTTTAATAGACATTTTGGTAAATTTATTTATATGGCAAAACAACGTTTGCCGGCTCAGCTAGTAAGATATATAAAGTTAATGTAGCTCAATTTCGTTTTAAACATTAAAGCCTCGCACTGCCACCAGTATTTACTATATAAAAGTGAGAAAAGTAAATAAAACTGTTGGTTTCTGTAAACTAAGTAAAGTTCAAGCCGTATACTGCGGTAATAGGAAGTCTTGCGAACTTCTGAAAGGTTGAGAGAGC